AAAGATAGAGCTGTAAGGGTCAGCAAAAATAAAAATAAAGCAAGGGCAAGCAACAGCTAGTACTAGTGTGCAGCGCATTCGTAGCAATGGGAGTCGTTGACGGGGTACTAGAATGTAGGTGGGCCGACAGGCAGAATGTCCGTGGGCCATCGCCAATCCTGTCGGCGGAGGTATTCGTTGACGTTGCACTTAAACTTTTGAAGATTTTTGCGAGTTGGGGCGGAGTCTAGAAAAGCTGGCAGCAGGGGATTCCACAGCTGGATTGCACATTGTGGGAAGCTGCGGAGAATGGTGTCTGGTGCTTGATGCGGTAGCGGATTTCGTAGCTGGTAACTGTGGCCGGCGGCCCTGCGGAGATTGTTTCGAGTGCGAGTGGCGTCACGGGGCTCAAGCCTTGGTGGGAGGACTGCTAGCAATTGAGTCGGACCGGTGATGAAATGCAGTTTGTAAGTGTATGTTAATGCAGCAATGTATCGCCGTAGGCTGAGGCTCTGGAGCTCCGTCCCTGGACCAATGATGCGCAATGCTCGGCGTTGGATGCTATCTAGGCGTGCAAGATGGGAGGGAGCAGCGCCCATCCAGACGAGCGGAGCATACTCCAAAACGGGCCGTACAAACCCCTTGTACACCGTGAGGCGGCTTTCTCGGGAGAGATAGGGCGCAGCTCGCCGCAGGAGGCCCAAGTGCTGTTTGCCACATATAGACACTGCGCGGATGTGCTCCGCGAAGGACAGCTTCGGATCAAAAGTCACCCCCAAGAGCTTTATTGTGGATGACTCTGGCACAGGGTTGCCTCCAAAGAGGAGAGAGGGCAAGGCTAGCTGCGCTCTTTGCAGCGTGACTGTCATAGCCTGGGATTTCGATGGCTCAAACGCTACACGCCATTCCTTGCCCCAGTCTGACAGACGATTGACGGTGTCCTGAAGCAAGGCAGCAGCAGTGGGGAGGTCGTTACGGAGAAGAGTGTACAATGTCATATCGTCAGCATAGGCTTCCAGCTGCGTGTTCCCAGCAAGACATGTTGATACGTCGTTAATGTATATGAGAAACATGGTTGGCCCCAAGATGCTGCCTTGTGGGACTCCCGCCTTGATGGGGTATGGACGGGAGGTTGCACCACCGCAACACACTGTATGCTTCGGTTAGACAGGTACGATGTCAGCCATGCAAGGAGGATGCCACATTGCTATAGCTTGAAGAGGACACCTGCGTGAGAGACCTTGTCGAAGGAACCAGTGATGTCAACTGCAAGTACGCGTGCTGCGCCCCTGTGTCCGATAGAGGATACCCAGGAGTGGTGTAGCGCAGTAAGAGCGTCGGCTGTACCCAGATTCCGTCTGAAGCCAAAATGATTCGCTGCAAGCAGTGGGTTACCCTCGAGGTAGTTCGTAATTTGCATGTTGATAATGGTCTCCATTACCTTGGATATCACACTAAGGAGGGATACGGGGCGGTAGTTCTTGAGCCGTGAGCGAGATGAGCGTTTATGCACAGGAACAACATTGGCAGGCTTCCAGGCCCGAGGTTGGTATCCATGCCGGAAGCACAATGAGAAAAGCTTGGTCAGGACCGGTGCGAGCACCGAAGCGCATTCTTTCAGGACACGGGGGGGGGGGGGGGGTAGATGCTGTCCGGCCCCGTGGCTTTCGACGCGTCGAGACGGCGCAGGAGGCGGTGAACATTCTGGATGCGGAAGTGGACATGGGTGAGTGGAGAATGTGGGTGAGCAGGCGCTGGGGTTCCAAGGGAGGCACGATGTAGGTCCCTGTCACCCAGGCTGCACTTGCCAGCAAAGAAGTGACCAAAGCAGTCAGCCTTCTCCTTGCTGGTAATGTGTTCCTTCCCGGCATTGTCGAGGAGGAGGGGTATGTCAGAGTTTCGGCCAAGACCGCATGCTCCTTTCAGGTTGCACCACCATGCTTTGTCGCGAAGCGAGCCGCAGGTGAGTCGGGACCGAAGGTGCCGTTCCTTCTCCTGCCTGGAGTGTTGAAGTGTGGTGGTAGCGCGGGTAACAGAGTCGATGAAGGATTGCTTCTTGACGTCATCGCCGAGGTCGTGCCGCCATTTCCTCCATTCTCTGTCCTTGATACGCATCACTTGTGTGCACTCAGTGGTCCACCACTTGGGATCAGATGAGCGGATGACGAGAGTCTTATGGGGAATGAACTGGTCCATGCCTGCAGCGATGGTATTGCCTATTGATGACTTGTAAGCAAGACAACTCTGGATCGTCCGTGATAATGGAGGCCCAAGGGACAGCCTTGAGGTGTGCTCTGAGTCGCCCCCAGTCAGCACGCTCGTAACGCCACACAGTACGCGTGGTGGCCTCTCCCCGGCATGGTGAAATGGTCGGGAATTGAGCTATCATAGTTCCATGATCTGAGCGTCCTAAAGGGGCAAGTACAGTGGTGCTGATGGGTTGTTGGAAAGTGGACATGATTAGGTCTAGTGTGTTGGCACCTCGAGTGGGCTCTCGGACATGTTGCGTGAGCTCATGGGTGATACAAAGATCCTCGAGGGCATCCCCGGCTGGGGTTGACTTCGCGCTACCAAGCCAATCTGCACTATGCACGTTGAAATCCCCAGCGAGGATTACGTTCGGGGACAGCTCTTTGGCCTGATGTAGTGTATCGTCAAGTGAATGATAAGACAGAGGTCGGTGGGGCTACAGGAGCCTGGACGGTACACAGAGTCGATCACAAAGCTTGTACCACCACGGAGGCGGACTTTAACCCAGAGTGTTTCATGTTCTGCAGACTGGAGTTGGTCTAGATGAGCAGAAGCAAGGGTGGACTTGATCCACACAGCGACACCTCCTCCGTGCTCATTTCGGTCTCTGCGATATGGGACGCCGTATCCAGGGATGGACGAGTCAAGGCTAGTTATGGCATCAGCAGAGATTTTAGTTTTAGTGATAATTGCTACATCTATGTCGTGCTGGTTGAGTGCATGCCTCTGGTCGTCCAGCTTGTTACGAAGGCTACAGGCATTAGTCACCAGCAGTTTGAGTCCTGTTGGAGAATTAGGGTCACCCAGTGCTGCCATCATTCTTTATCATTGGTCAGCTGGCATGATAGTTGCATCAAACTTGGTCTCGGTCACAACAGCGATGTCTACATTGTGGTGCGTGACAGTGTGGACAAATTCTCCAAATTTGTTTGCTAAAAGCATTAGTCACCAGGAGGCGCATTGACTGGGTCGAGAAGGTAGGTGGTGCTGTGGGTGTTACATTATAGTTATAGTTCTGCATTTTTTTTCAAGTCACGATTAGACTCTGGCAAGCGGATTAAATCGTGAGCCTGGAGCTAGATTTGTTGGTTTCCGGGAATCCTTCTTCTTCACCCCAGTTGCCAACTCTGGTGAGGACTCAGTGCTGGCATTCCTGCCTCGTCGTTCAGGCGTAAACCAAGTGTGGATCGCCTCGGTGTTGATGTTTGATGCCACTTCTGATAGGAGTCGCTCTGTCCGTTCTAGATCTCGCTCTGCAATGTATACTTCGACGTCCGCGAGGGGAGTTCTGGGGTGTGCTGTCATTTTGAGGGGTATGCCAATTTCAAGGTTCCAATCAGCAACGTTTCCGTGAGCTTTGCACATTCGATCTACACCACAAAGGGAACTTACCTGCAACATTTGAGCGAAATTGGAGATACCGTAGTTCCGCGCATATAAGACCATGGGCTAATATACGAAATAATGCATTTTCCGGGGGAAAAAATTAGTAATAATGGTTCGTTTTTTAGCCCTGGGCCTATATTCGAATTTTGAAGGCAGCTGGCACGCGAAAAAGTACAAGTCCGTGCGCGGTTGTCCGCCTACCGTAGGCACCGGCACTGGTAATGTAGTCTGCACTGACATGCTGTACTATCGGTTCCGTAACGGTGTTTGGGTCTGTTTATTAGCCCAAGGGCCTATAAACGGAGGTGGGCTTATATCCGGATATAGGCCCATGGGCTTATATGCGCGGAACTACGGTATCGACTTGCACACATGTTCTGGTTTTCTCAGACATTCTCTCTTAAATCATTTGACAGTACGCGTAAGCCTGTGCTTATGTACGCTTTCATATGTCATTGTCTACATTTTTTTAAATTTTAGACTGTGAACGGATATGCGACTAGCATCACACTTAACGGTCTAAATTCCAGTACATTCTACGCCTTTGATATAATTGCCACAAATGTGTACCTGAACCAAGTCTTCATAAGTCAATCAATGGTTAACTTCAAGGATATTACATTGTCGGGCACCTTTTTCAAGTCTTCTGACGGTAAGACGTGGTAATGAATGAAGCTCAATGACGAATTGTTTCTTAATATTTTGATTCATTATTAAATACCCCCCCCCCCCCCACACACACAACCAGAATAGTTCGTTTATGGCTCTAAGCAAACTTCCTCTCACCCTCCTCTAATCCAGCAGAGTAGTCTGTGTATTGCTCTAAGCAAGCTTCCTCCCACCCTCCTCCACTCCAGCAGAGTAGTCTGTGTATGGCTCTTAGGAACCTTCCTCTCACCCTCCTCCACTCCAGCAGAGTAGTCTGTGTATGGCTCTTAGGAAACTTCCTCTCACCCTCCTCCACTCCAGCAGAGTAGTCTATGTATGGCTCTACGCAAACTTCCTCTCACCCTCCTCCACTCCAGCAGAGTAGTCTATGTATGGCTCTAAGCAAACTTCCTCCCACCCTCCTCCACTCCAGCAGAGTAGTCTGTGTATGGCTCTAAGCAAACTTCTTCTCACCCTCCTCCACTCCAGCAGAGTAGTCTGTGTATGGCTCTTAGGAAACTGGTGTGAATAATCTACATGCCTACAAAGATATCCTATATTTAGTTGGTAGGGAGTCTAGGTTGTCACTGTGATATCTCAACTTCCTAGCACCAGATGCTAGCTATCAAGTCCACAGTTTCTGCTACTGTAGGCTTATTTGAATCTGTGTCTATTCCGAATGGATTTGGCGAATTGATGTCTTTGTTTCTTCGCCATGTACCTTTTCAGATCAAGTACCGGAGAAGACTACGCCTTTCAGCACTGTTGGTACAGTCGTGGGAGCGATTATTGGTGGAGTCCTGGTCATTCTGCTGTGTCTAGCGCTCCTCTTGCACAAGCAGAAAAGGTAAGCAACTTGGAATAATGAGTATGTATGCGAAGTGTATCGGGGAAATGCATCCAGGGGGATAGTGCGGATTCGAATCCTAGGTTATGTCTTAAAAAAGAAATAGGAGAAATGAAAAGTTTATAAAACATCCCTATGCTTATTTTGCCTAGGTCATCAAGGTGGTAGACAGTGTCGTATTACCCTCGACTCCAAAGAGAAAGTTGACTCTCGCTAGGCAAAAAAGCATATCGTAGGGCCCTGAGCTTCCAAGCTCTCTCATTTGAAACTATCTTCCAGAACGATTGATCTTCTATATTTTTCAACTCTCAGGAAAGTGAGCTGCCTGAAAGAGAATAAAATGTCCACCCCCACCAGGACTTGAACCTGAGCCCTTGCGTGTTATGAGTAATGCACTAACCATTCTAACTCTCCACCTCTTGAGACGGATTCGTGGGCGTCTTTCACCCACCGCCCTGTCAGCACTGTACACCACGTATATACGCCCCGTTATCGAGTATAGTTCTCTGGCTATGTCAGCTATGAATGTTCAGCAACAAGATGCCCTCGAACGTCTCCAACGGCGGTCAGCAAAACTCTGCCTCCGACTCCCCCTCTTCAGTCCTTGCCACCACAGTTCATTACTCCGCCACGCCACTTGGCCAACCCTCTCATCCCGCAGGAAGCTCAAGCAGCTACTCTTTGCACACACCATCGCTGTCAAACGATCCCCGCCACACATCCAGCTTGCCACCTCAGGCAACATCACCGGGCCACCAAGCCGAGAATTGAGGCGTCATCGAGTCTTTGCCCTCCCCACCACCCACTCCACCCACCTTCAACGTTCACCCTTGTACTCTGCATGCACCCAGTACAACCACCTGCCACCACACTGTTACTCCCTCCGAGAAATAAATGCATTCAAAAGAGAAGTTACCCCGATCATCATTTGCACATGCTCCAACCCCCGCTGTAGCCCAACCTAGGTATAGTATTTTAATCAAGGTCTATCGCCTACCACGGCCACCGTGAGAATAAATATAATCATAAACTAGGGCTGAAACAATTATACTGATAACTCCCTCCTTTGTCCGAGCTGATGCCAAGAACATTTTTTGAATACGGTACGAGGACCAGCCACAGACCTGCCGAAAATGCTCACAGCCAGGCCACACAGCCAACAACTGCACTGTAGCGGAGGGTCGCAGGGGAACGTACGCAGACCGTGCCAGTACTACCGGTAGTACTGCAGCTTATAGCACAGACCTGCCGCGTATGGACCCAGCTCCGAGCCTGGCGGCTCAACCCAAACACAGTTTTGAACCTGAAACACCACCAACTGGTAGTAAAAACGAAGAGACCGCAGGTACATGGTGTAACAGTTTTACACCTACTTTCACCACTCACACCTTATCACCTTGTGTCACACCTACTCTCATATACATAACCAGTATTCTGAGTAATAAACGCTCTCTTCTTCCTTCGCTCAACGAAGAACTATTACATTGGTAGCAGAGGATGGTTCTCCATCCCCTGTGGTCGTTCGTGGGCCGAGTTCTGGCCTCGGCTATCAGCTCTATCGTCGTCAGCATCTGGATCGTCAACCGTCTCCGGAAGGAAGCTCTACCCTCTACTCAGTCGTCACCCCAGTGCGTTCCTCGTGCTTCAGCTTCCCAGCCTGCACCACGTGATCGCGCACACGTCAAGGAGCCGCCCGTGTTTACCGGAGATCCCACCACGTTTCGGGAATGGGCATTTGCCGTTGAGTTGGCCTTGGCTTCGTGGCGCTTAGCGGATCCTAAATGTGAAGCTGAGTTTGCAGCCAGTTATATCGCTGGAAATCCGCGTCTGTGGTTGATGACTTCCCTGGAAGCCGGCGCTGCATACCCAGACCGGTCGTCCTTGACGAAGGCATTAGAGGCGGCTTACGGTGTGAAGTACGACCAAGAGAGAGCTCGGTGGAGTTTGTTCTCCCTCTCCCAGCGCGGCGCCTTAGGAGACTACATCGCAGAATTCTCGCGGCTCAGTTTTTTAATCACTGACCTGGATGGCCACTCTCGCGCAGTACTATTTGTCAGGGGCCTGGCCCCGGAGCTCATGCGTTAAGTCATGAAGGAGCATACTACAACCCTGCAGAAGGCGACAGAAGCAGCGCTCGCCGTATCGCAAGTGATGCCCTTCATTACGGTACGACAGCAGCAGGGGAACCCGGTACGTTGTCCACTGTCGGTTCCTGGTCCCCGTTCCAATCGCGAGGAAACGGAACGACGATGCTACATATGCCACCGACCTAGTCATCTGGCACGTCAATGTGACTCGAACCCAAACGCTGGATGCCAGTAAAAAGAGGGGTGCGATTACTGGCGTGTGAGAGAGCACCCAAGGTCACCGTGCCAGTCGCCAACAGGTTTAGTTGCCTGGAGACAGAGGACGTGGAGACTGATGATGGCGACGACACCCTGGAGTCTCAAGGCCCACAGTGCGTCCGGAGCCACGTCAGCAACATAGCCCTGGATTCGCACGCGCGGGACCACGATCTCCTTGTTGTGAACGGAAAGGTGAACGGCCACCGAGCGACAATGTTAATCGACTGCGGGTCAACACACGATTTATCTCGGAACGTTTCGCAAGAAAACAAAAGATGAAAACGAAGATCGTGGAGGAGGTTCTAAAGGTGGCCTTGGCGGACAGATCAACCAGTTCGCGGCCGCTAGAGACCACCGACGCTCGCTTGGCCGTAGGAGGCTATGGCGATGACCAGCGCCTGACGGTCTTTCCCCTTGATCGATATGATGTGATCCTGGGAAAACCCTGGCTGACCCGGAATAACCCAGCTATCAACTACCACACCAACGAGGTCAAACTGGGTGCCGAATCCCTAATCACGGGTGAACCCACAGGCGACGCTGCTGTTCCCTCGGAGCTGATGTTCATCTCTGGCCGACAAGCGCGGCATGCGCTACAGCAAGGCAGAGAGGGTTACCTGGCTATCTTCCCCCGACGACAGTTCGTCACATGAGCCTCGGAAGGAGGTACCTCCGGACAAGCAGTGTGACGTCGATGAGCTGCTGCTGCGGACGTGTTCCCCGATGACCTCCCTTCACAGCTTCCCCCAGAAAGGTCAGTGGACCACGAGATTGAGGTCGAACACAACTCAACGCCACCATCCAAGGCAGCGTACTGACTATCCAAGCCCGAGATGGATGAACTACACAAGCAGCTTACAGCCCTCCTGGGTAAAGGATTCATCGAGCCTAGTAAGTCCCCGTACGGAGCCCCGGTGTTCTTTGTTAAGAAGGCCGATGGGTCATTACGAATCGTTTGTGACTGGCGGGATCTAAACAAGATCACTATTAAAAACAAAGCCTGCCTCCGAACATTGACGATCTGTTCGACACCGTCCAAGGGGCTCGCTACTTCACGAAATTAGACCTCCGTTCGGGATACAACCAAATCAGAATTAGTGAAAAAGATATACCCAAAACGGCAATTGATACCCCCTTTGGACATTTCCAGTTTCGGGTAATGGGATTTGGTCTAACCAATGCGCCTGCCACATTCCAGGCCTTGATGAATTCAATACTGCAGCCCTATTTACGTGATTTCGTGGTCGTATTCCTTGATGATATCCTTATCTTCAGTAAAACATGGAGCGAGCATTTGAGGCATGTCAGCACTGTTTTGGAAACCTTGAGAGCCAACAAGTTATTCTTCAAACCCTCAATATGTGAATTTGGGTTGCCGGATGTCATCTTCCTAGGCCACAGGCTGAGTGGTTTATCTATCTCTCCCGACCCAAACAAAGTTGCTGGGGTTAAGGAGTGGCCTGCGCCGTCCTCTATAAAGGAAGTGAGACAGTTCTTGGGTTTCGCGAACTATTTCAGACGGTTCATTGATCACTATTCCATGATTTCGAGACCTTTGGAGGAGATCACAGGGAAACACTCGCGTTTTGAGTGGAACAGCGCACGTCAGTCTGCATTTGAGAAGCTGCGGAAGGCCTTACTGAGTGCACCCGTATTGCGACTTGCTGATGTTAAAAAGCCATTGAGAGTAGAAACCGACGCTAGCAATTTTGTCATTGCTGGAGTGCTCCTGCAGCAAGCTAACCAGGAAATTTCTGGCATCCAGTCGCTTATACTAGCTGGAGACTGTCCTCCGCCGAGCGCAACTACACAGCCGGAGAAAGAGAAACCCTCGCTCTAGTCAAAACCCTGAAGTGTTGGCGAGTGTACCTCTTTGGGCATTTCGATGTGTTCATGGATAACATGGCCATTGTACACCTGAGAACCAAACCTACCCTCATCAGAAGGGCGGCCCGTTGGGTAGAGTTACTGGCGGATTTCGACTTTACGGTCCATCATAAACCTGGAAGGGACAATGCGGCTGCTGATGCCTTGTCTCGTCGTCCTGACCTCCAGCCGGGCGAGATCTCAGTAGTTCAAACAAAACTGACTGCTGCACAGTGTAACGCTCTTGAGTTTGCTCTGGCAATTGATGATCAGTTCTCGAAGACGGTAGCAGAAGCATATCAACACCATGCAGAGTTATGGCCTATCATCCAGAAGATGCGTCGTTCTCCGAGTGACAACGTTCACCAGGCTTACCTCTGGCCTGGTGACGCCCATCATCTTTACTTGCGATCTTCCCCCAGTAACAGGTTATGCGTTCCCAAATGCGCACTTCGACTACAACTATTGCAGGAGCACCATGACTGCATTGCCGCAGGTCATCCCGGCAAGGACAGAACGTATTTCCAGCTCGCTCGTCACTTCTATTGGCCGCGCATGGGGTTGGATGTTAAGAAATTTGTTAAATCGTGTGATGTCTGTCAGCGTGCTAAGGGTGCTCAATTAAGGTTTGGGCTTCTCCAGTCACTTCCTGTGCCCGAGCAACCCTGGGACCATATTACCATGGACTTCATCATGGGTTTACCCAAGTCACCCGAAGGTCATGATGCAATTTACACATTTGTAGATAGACTCACAAAATGTGTTCACCTAGTACCCACAACGGCAACC